AAGGGGGAGCGACTCCAAATCAGTCTGGCCATCTTCCATGATGCCACCGCCACAGGGTCAACACAGGCCAATGTCTTTCAACATGCATCAGCCACCAAATCATCACAAGCATCCAGCAATGAAAATGCATGGAACCTGAACTTTAACGAGATGCAGAGATGTGGGTTTAATCCAGAATTCTCATTTGGCTGCAAAACATGCTGCTGCTTCTGGGGTTATTAGTAACAGATCAAAGGGTTTAGAAGACATTGTTGGAAAAAGCATTTTTTGCTAAGTAGTGAGCAGGTTCATTGTAAGCTGAGATTACATGTACTTGTACTCTTTCTTATTTGTAATAAGTTTTATCATTACTAGAAAGAATCCTGGTTTTGTTGAATTCTTCATCAGTTTTCATAATTTTTAGTCAAATGAACATATATATAGATTTTTTTCCTAATTTTTCTTTCGCAAATTGAATTTATTTTTTGTAATAGATTATTGGAAAATCTCTTCAACACCATACATAGACAATAGTATGAGTATTATTTTTCTCACCACGCAAGATCGGTAAAGAATTATCTACGAGTTAGAAATACATACTGTTCTGCTATTTTATATAACTATTAGATGATCATCTACATGTACACGCGGGTTTATTTTTCTAATATATATTTTAAAAATTTTATAAGTAAATGTTTTCTATCATTTCCTTTACGTACAAAATTTTGGTAAAACGATTGTGTCATTTTAAATATTAAATTACTCTTAACAAATATTAATATCACATGTATTTCAATGATCACTTATCTATATTCTTTTGTGTATTTTTTTTTGTAAATTATTGTTAGTCACTATAGACATATATCTAGTACTGTATATTAAAATATCAGTTCATAGTCCAATATATATTTTTAAAATATATTTATCTGCTAAATGATGGTTTATGCATATTTTCTAATGATTTTATTCTACATTTATTTTATGCGCTTATCTCTTAATCCAATATTTTTTATATCACTAGGCTAGAAGGCTTTTGGTGGGTATAAACAGAAATGAACCATTTTTGGCGCTTTTTTACCCATTGAGCTGAAATTGTTAGGAGTTAAGCGTAGAGCTGTTTGCTTTTGGTTGATGAAGCTATCTGTATTACTTATGCCCTGAACTGGAAATCAATTTTAGGGAGCTTATCATGATGATAATGGCAAGCCTGTTGTCTTGGAATGTGTCAGAGAAGCTGAGCGAAGGATTGCTGGGAGCTCTTTCATGTAAGATTGCTTGGTTTCTTTTTACTCCTCAAATGAGCTAGTTTTTATGTTTATGCTAATTGGTGAAGTTCCTGTGAAGAAAGGATTATTTTGCTGCTATCTTCTTTTCTTCTTCTTGGAATCAAAGTAAAACTGATCTGAACTATATGTATTGTACAAAAAGGAGTACCTTCCTATGGGAGGGAGTGTCAAAATGGTGGAGGAAACATTGAAGCTTGCCTATGGAGACGACTCTGAATTTATCAAAGACAAAAGAATAGCTGCAGTTCAAGCTCTGTCTGGAACTGGAGCATGCCGAATGTTTGCAGACTTCCAGAAACGTTTTTGTCCCGGTTCACAGATCTACATTCCTGTACCAACCTGGTCCAAGTGAGTTTCATGCAGTTAACTTTGATCATTTCCAATGTTAATTCAAAACTGTGTACTCTGTAAGTGTGGCCAAGCTTCTTTTGCTTCCACATAATAGCAGTAGCTTATGTTGTGTTTTGTGAACAGCCACCACAACATCTGGAGAGATGCAGATGTCCCTCAGAAGACATATCATTACTATCATCCCGAATCCAAGGGCTTGAATTTCTCAGGATTAATGGACGATGTGAAGGTTAGCAAGAACAACTTCTTCGGCAAGCATATTTACATCTTACTCTTGTTAATAGCATCCTAATTATCTTCTACGCCTTTTCTCATAGAATGCTCCGGAAGGCTCGTTCTTCCTCCTTCATGCTTGTGCTCATAATCCTACTGGAGTAGACCCTACAGATGAACAATGGAGAGAGATATCACAGCTCTTCAAGGTGATTAGTCGTCAATACTTTATTAGTTATCTGTCTATCATTCACTTTTTGTCTCCCTGATCTGTCCACCGCAGACTAACAGCGAGTTCTCATTGCAGGCCAAAAAACATTTTGCATTCTTTGATATGGCCTATCATGGTTTTGCTAGTGGGGATCCAGCGAGAGATGCCAAGTCCATTAGGATCTTTCTTGAGGATGGTCATCATATTGGAATTTCTCAGTCCTATGCAAAAAACATGGGACTCTACGGCCAGAGGGTCGGATGTCTCAGGTATTCATTTTCTCAGCAAAAATAAATTCCTTGACTGAATAAAGTCATCGACTTGTATGAGACAGCCGATTAGATATTCAAACATGTCATTAAGCGTACCCATACAGGCTCTTCATTTAGTGATGAAGTTAGAAATGAATGTGAGCTTGATTACTTTGTCTTCTGCTGCAGCGTGCTTTGTGCAGATGAAAAACAAGCCGTGACTGTGAAAAGTCAGTTGCAGCAACTAGCTAGACCAATGTACAGCAACCAACCTTTACATGGAGCTCAAATAGTCTCAACCATTCTTGGAGACCCAGAGTTAAAGAGTCTGTGGCTAAAGGAAGTTAAGGTAACCATATAGTTATCGCCTTACCTATAGCTTCCTTCTGCTTGCAATTAATATATTCCATGTTTCATGTGTACGGAGACTCTTGTCGTATGAAACACATTGTAACCCATTGTTCACTCTTTTGTGTTTGATAATCCAACTATACAATTAGAAATCTGATAATCTGTGTGTAAAATCTATAACGGCACAGATCATGGCTGATCGGATTATTGGCATGAGAACTACTTTGAGAGAAAGCCTTGAGAAGTTAGGATCGCCTCTATCATGGGAGCACGTAACCAAGCAGGTAAATTACAAAAAAAATTAGTTTTTGTTATGAGCATGTCACTTCTCTCATATGATTTACACAATTACATAATCATATATCTATATATGGGGAACAGATTGGAATGTTCTGCTACAGTGGGCTAACACCAGAACAGGTTGACCGCTTAACAAGCGAATATCATATCTACATGACCCGAAATGGCCGTATCAGGTACTAACTTGGTCCATTTTCTTGATTTTGATGCATTTCAAAAGTTAACAAAAATCATTGAGGCTTTTGATGTTTGGTTGCAGTATGGCTGGTGTTACGACAGAGAATGTGGGATACCTTGCGAATGCTATACATGAAGTCACCAAGTCATCTTAAACTATTTATATGCAAATAAGACAGGAGGGCTAATTTGTTCTTCTGCAATTGTTTTCATGGGAACTGAAAGTTTATCCATAAACAGTAACTTATCAGTGCATTTTTTCTTATCTGCGCAATAAAAAAAAGCAGCATTTGGACACAAATTCGTTATTGCAATCTGTTCTGGTTGATATTCAGGCTGGAACGATCGATGCTTGGATATTTATTCACGATTGTTTTCGTCTCCATTTGCTTTTTTTAGTGAAGATGAATTGTAAATTTTTTGTTGCATCATGTATTTGTGCGTAATGTGTCTAAACTTTAGAATTGTTCAAAAATACAAGGTGGACCCACATGAAAATAGAGCGCGTAAGCTATACGCTCCAATGAGAACGTTAATCACATAATTTGTACTCATTACTTGATATTAGCAGTGAAGTGAATACTTGAAAAGTGTTGATAACTTCCCAATCCATTAACAATAACTGATACAACTAATTTTGGAGATTAGTATTGTTACCAGATCAGATATACAAATTGATTAAATTACAGTGTATAGTGATAACACATTTTCTAATTTGGGTAACAACTGATAGCATTTGCAGATTTTTACAAAGAAAAAAAAAGTTAAATCCATTTCTGAATTGGAAAAAATGTTAACAATATAAAAAAAATAATTATAAAAAACAGCATAGCTGTATGTAATTTTTCATTTGTAGATGATTCTTTACCAATCTTGCGTAGTGGACAAATAATACTCATATTATTGTCTATGTTTGGTGTTGAAGAGATTTTCCAATAATCTTTTACAAAAAGATAAGCTTAATTTACGAAAGAAAAATTAGGAAAAAAAATCTATATATACATTGTTCACTCCATCTAAAACTATGGAAACTGATGAAGAATTAAAAATCTTAAGATTTTTTCTAGTGATGATGAAACTTATTACAAATATGAAAGAGTACAAGTACATGTAATCTTAGTTTCTCACTCCGAAACCAGACTTCCCCGTATAGAGATAAGGAAATATACCATTAAGATAACTTCTACGAGATTTTGTGTAATCTATTCTAAGTACTCCTATTAAGTTTAGACTTTACATACTTGCATAAATATCCTACCTTTGTTAATCAATAATACACATACACTTTTCCAATTCATTACATGGTATCAGAAATCTTTAAGATCTCTGACCTAATTTCTTGCGATTAACATCGGGCCAGCAATCTAAAATTTTACATAATCCATCATAGACATAAACCAAGTATGAGAACAGTGTTAGGTCTAAGGTTTATGTCTATGATGGTGTCTATAAGATTTCAAATTGCATGGCCTGATGTGGGGAAGTCTGGTTTTGGAGTGTATAAGTTTAAGCTAGTTAGAATCAATGGCAACCCGAGATGGGTAGTGCAAGAATGAGGTTTGCGAAAACACTTAAAAAGTATGCCGTCGATGGTTAGGCCTGCTGTCAAAGCTTATATACCCAGCAGGCCTAACCATCAAAATCTATATAAAATGACATAGATGATATCAGGAACCCTTATGCTATGAGTACTCCTCTAAATCTGTCTTCCCATTTATGATTTACGCTAACAGAGCTGGCTGGGATTGTAGTTTCTCCTGCACTGACGACTGTCTTTGTTCTAGGAAAAACGGTGGTGCCACGATATTTATGAGCTTCTTGGGAAATAGGGTACTTTTAAGTTTTTAATTAGCTGAATGGGTGTGTTTCTGATATCACGTGCAATCTTCAACATTTTTGAACAGTGGCTTTTTCATTATGGCATTCGTACCCTTATTAGAGGAAAGGATGAGAGAGAAACCCCTGAGTGAAAAAGTTGTTCTCTAACGTGTGCAACTCACTCTCAATTATAAAGCGCAATCGTTTTTTGCACAAATAACGTTGCTGGGCTTATGGGCTTGGGCAATTATGTGTAGTTTTATAATAAGGATAGTTTTATTTTCTCTTTCTTCTCTTTTGAGATTATTTTTTCTTTTAAATAAATTGTTGTAAATTATTCATAATAATAAATATTTAATAATTTATATATATACTAAAAATATAAAAATATTTTTTTAACACATACTGAAATTTGAATTTTTTAAAACAAACAATATTTAAATTTTTTTTGTAATATATACAAATTTAAAAGTATTCACCATTTGATATACAACTATCAAGTATTCATTTGAAGATATTCACGTGAAAGTATTCATCCTTAGATATTCACGATTTGGTGTTCATTTATTTGGTGTACACGTAAATGTATTCACAATTTAGTGTACACTAATGTACACATAATGGTGTACACCAGTGTACACATAAAGGTATTCACTGATATTCACGATTTGGTATTCATTCATTTGGTGTACAACATTTGGTATTCACTGATATTCACTGGTATTCATTCATCTGATGTACACATAAAGGTATTCACCATTTGGTATACACCCGAAAATATTCACTCAAAGGTATTCATCATTCATTTGGTGTACAATTATTACATATTCACAATTCAATGTACACCTATTAGGTATTCATTCAATTGAATACCATAACTGAATACCTTCAATTGAATACCATGCCTAATGTCTTTGAATGTTTGCAGTTTTTAGAATAGATTTTGGTTTTTGTTTGTCAAAAAATTATTTTTTTATCCAATTATAATTTTGACAAAATTGATTCCTTAGTTTTTAGGAAAACTAATTTTTAAAATAACTTCCAATTTTCAAACAAAAACTAAAATCTACTATTTAGGAGTTTTATGTCGAGATTTTTTTTTGTTTAACAGTATATATATATATATATATATGATAAGTCTTAGCTCAATATATTTTGTACATAAAATCACCAGTTTCATTTTCTTTAGAAAAATAATAGAAATTTATTAATAAATTAATATATACTCAATTTAATAACTTTTAACACATGAATCAAATCTCAATATCCAATTATAATTTTGACAAAATTGATTCCTTAGTTTTTAGAAAAACTAGTTTTTAAAATAACTTCCAATTTTCAAACAAAAACTAAATCTACTATTTCGGAGTTTTATGTCGAGATTTTTTTTGTTTAACAGTATATATATATATATATGATAAGTCTTAGCTCAATATATTTTGTACATAAAATCACCAGTTTCATATTATACACACAAAAAATCTAATAAATTTATTTTATTTTTTGAAAAATAATAGAAATTTATTAATAAATTAATATACTCAATTTAATAACTTTTAACACATGAATCAAATCTCATATGCATTTATGTAGACAATGTGCTTGTTTTTTCTAACTTCGTAACATAATGTATGTGAATTTTTATTTAAGTTTCTATTTATAAAAATTTGTGAGTTTGATATATTTATTTTATTAAGTTTTAAGTATATGATAAAATAAAATTTAAAAGTATAAAAACATGATTTAAATAATTAATTGTACACAAGAAAATATAGGAAATATATTTTCTGATTGAAAATATATATATATTTATTTTAGCAATTTTAAACACTTCAAACAAAACAAAAAGAGTTTAAATATGAAAAGATATAAATCAAGGTCTTATATATATATATATATGTATTATATAGACGAAAACCAAAATCTAAACAATCCACCATTCAAGTTTTTTTTAAAACCAAATATATATATATATATATATATGTATTATATAGACAAAAACCAAAATCTAAACAATCCACCATTCAAGTTTTTTTTAAAACCAAAATCTACAGAAAAATCAAAAACTCAAAAATAAAAACTAAAATCTGAAAACCAAATACCTAAAGCCAAAAACCACAATCTAAAATCTAAAAATCATTCAAACATTCATGGCCTACATGTTTAATGTATACATAACTGAAATATATAACAAATTTTAAATATTATCTGTTTTAAAAAATTTAAATTTAAAGATGTGTAGAAAAAAATCAAAATATTTTTAAAATAGATATTATTGTATTTTTTGTTATTTAAAATAATATATAAGAGTGAATGAATTAGAAGAGGAAAAAATCAAAAAGTGGAAAGAGAAAATAATATTTTTTAATAAAAATCTATTTTTCTTTTCTTCTCTCACGATACCTCTCTCTTCTCTTTACTTCTTTTGTTTTCTCTCTCTTCTTTTATTTTGTTTTCTGTGTCATATTTATTCGAATTATTCGATTTTTTTTAAAATCAAAATGGCATTGAAATGTAATAATAGATAATAGTGAAGGATGATATAGTTATTGAGCATAAAAAACTACCCAAAGACATTACCTTTTTAAAAACACACCCTTTCAGCAAATTAAGAACTAAAAACTACCCTTCCAACCAATTTTCTCGATATTTATTCACCAAAAATATAAATTATTTTCGTCTCCATTTGTTCTTTTTTATTGAAGATGAAGTTAATCGTAAATGTAATTCTGAAGCTTTTTTCCTTTGTTCTGTTTTAAGTTGTTTAAAGAAAGCTAATTCTATAATATAATATTGATTAAAAATAAAATATGATAAATACATAGCAAATAAACATATTTTTCATAGACCACTGCACCATCTTAACCAACTCATATTTTATATAAAATGGCCGTTTGGAAGACGAGCATTGGGCTCACGGAGTTCATTGAAAAATGGATGAGCACATGCTTCGAGCTTTTAGACAAGGAAATATAACACATGTCAGTTAAAAAAGCTTCAGCATCATTGAACAGTGCAGGTCCAAACAAAGAGATTTTTACCACTCTAAGAATTAAGAACCACTCTAAAAATTAAGAAAACAGAAATCTGCAACGTAGACTCGGTGAATATTGAAGAAGCCGAGATGCGAGGTCAATGGCTTATGGAGGCATCCACTTATGGAAAATCTGGAGGTCATAAAATAGTATGTGTATTGTTTCAGCTTTTCTTTCTTTTTTTTTCTACTAAGCTATTGTATGATCAGAAAAGTTAGAACGTAACATCCATATAAAATACCTTATGCCACGAGTGAGCTTGTGGGAATCTAAAGTCTGTGTAGTTTGGATTCATGCATCGGATTTCTTCTCGAGTTGGAGTACTAAGAACCTAAACAGAAAGTAATGTTAATCAAAATGACAAATCTATTAGATATAGGAATTTTCTATAAAATCTTATCAAAATGAGACTTCACCTTGATGATCTCCACTAGCTGGTCCACAGAAT